TACTAATATGAGATTGAAGAAGTCATATCGCGATAGCAAATATAACGTACATGATTGATGTATGAAAAAATGAATATCAAGATTGTTCGGTAGTTAATTTACTTGAAAAAAAGAAACTGTGCATAAATAATTATTTAATGAAATTCTGGTAAAGTTAAATTCCATATGTATCAGAAGCTAAAACTCTAGATGGTTAAAGTGTTTTATAATTTTACAGCTTGTTTGTATATATCTGATGTTTTTGACTCAAGTCGTATTAGATTAACTTCTCATTGTCAACAGTTTTACCATTACTGTCCATGAACAGGCTTAATTTAACTAACTGGGCCCGCAATCTTTTTTAATTTAATTGTGTCGTTTTAGACGGGCTTTAGATATTCTGTGTGTATATTGATTCTGTCGCAAAAACTACTTTTCTGTAAGGTTTTATATGTCAGACATTTAGGCTCCATTTGTCTCTCTGCATCAAAAAATGTCATTTTTTATTCATTGTAATACTTTAGTTTTTCTCAATTCAAGGTTCAGTTCAGCTTTTTCTTGTTCGTCTTAAAGCAAAACATCTAATATGACGTTACTGCGTATTTCAATATTCATAGTTACATCATAAGAAAGTATTTTGTGTGACACGCTGATGTATCAAGCAGACGTGTCAGAAGGAGAAGATGGCGTGATAGTGGCATGACTACATGACAAGTAAATTAAGATGAATGCATGTTAGTTAAACGGGAGAGGTGTAAGTTTCTTTATGAACAAACTGGCCGTTTCCATGTATTTGCTTATCAAAGAAATACACATTTACTGTTAGTACTGTTTAAGATATGTTAGTACTATCTTAGTTACGAATTGATAATATTTGAATCAAATTAATTTAAAAAAATGTTATTTATGATATTACTTAAATGAATTTAAATTATATGGCTGGCGTCAGTTAGGGTTTTTAGTTTTTTTTTTTTGTTTTTTTTTTTGGGGGGAAGGGGGGAGTAGGGAGTTGGCTTTTACTGACTGGCATTTCTTTTGAGGAGAATAATGCTGTAAAAAAATATTGTTATGTAGTGATATCATTAAAGCAAAAATCAGATATAAGTAAAATATAATCTTGAACAAATATGTTGTTTTTCGACCGGATAGCGCAGGTGCAACCGGGTTATAGTATGGTGAATGTTGGGCGAAGGGCGGGCGGGCGTGCGTGCGGTCAACGGCAGGGAAAAAATCGTTACAGTTTTCTCAGCAACTAATTATCACAGCGTCTTGATATTTGGTATACAACATTAACATGGTAGGATTCGGTTTCAAGTCTATCGCTCATCCACTTTCTATTTACCGACTTAGTTTTATTTTCGACATTAATAGTAAATGATAGGAAATTTTCGTAACTTTTTTCTCAGCAACTACTTATCACAGCCTCTTGATAGTTAGTATACAGCATAAACGTGGTCCCATACTGTGGTATTCGATTTCAGATCTGCCGCTCATCCACTTTCTGTTTACCGACGTAGTTGAATGTTCGACAAATTTTCGGCATTTATGGTAAATGGTAGAAAAAAATCATAGCACACAACCTCATGACATTTGGTATATAAAGGCAACCCGGCTTTTTCTGTCTTTGACTCATTTTTTTAATACATTGTTATTACAGCTTTGATAGATGACGATTCTTGTAAGACATTTTCCATTAATAAGAAATAAGTGTAAAACCTTCTGATTTTAAATCAATATTTTCATGGCAGTTCTTACCAGAATAGTAAGCTTTTCTGATAAAGCCTAAGAATATTATAATTATGCTTTTTCAATGCATTTCGGATAATTTAAGGCCGTTGCTTAAATGTTACAGAAGATAGTACTAAAAGGATGTATAGTAGGACTCGTTACTACGATAATACAATTTGGCGCCAAGTAAACACTGAATATGTTAACACAGTAATTCACTCGATTTTGTTTTCTCCTTGTACACAAACAATGATTGACTATAGAAAACAGGATCTATTCCAGTTATATTTGGATACTTTATAAGTGTATACTTGATACTTTTAAATATTCTCGATAAATGAGTATTCATATTTTAATCAAATATATTCAAATCACGAATACACACGTACAATTAGTAATATGAACCTTTTCTTATGACAAAAGAAATGCAGAGTTCAAGCAGGAAACATAACAGAGATGACAAGATAAACAAACAAACCTATTTATCACAAACTTCGTGATAAGAAGCATCAATTATCAAATCTTTGAACTTAATTAAAGAGTTGGTAAGCACAAAGATATTTTATTACAATTGCAATGATCATAAAATAAACAGTGAAAAAACTCATGAAATACTTCTTAGCAATAGCACAATGTTGAAACACGCTCTCACATTGTCAAACTCTAAATAAAGCAGAGATATGATAAAAAGTTAATATGAAGTTGAAATTGAAATAAAAGATGCACCTTGGTTGATTTACAAATTATGAGCACTTCAGTAATGCTTTCCATAATATAATCGTATGAAATAAAAAATAATAAAGTTCAGCATAGAGTCGTAAGGCAATCACCAATGATAGTATCAGACTTAATTGGTTGCATCTTTAATTAGCCATTAGTTTCTGTATCAATTTTTTGTTATGGAACAAGTTTGTCTATGTTAAATCTTTAAAACATCTTTAAATAAAATAAAGAATGATACAAATCTTTCTGGTCGTGGTATTTTATTCTTGAGATTAAAAATCATGAACATGAATTTAGCCATCCAAATTTAGAAGAATTAACTGTTGATTATTAAAAGAAAATGAAAATTCACACTTGTCAATTTGTAGTTAATGAGAAGACAAAGATGATTTGATAATATTTTCATCATTAATAAAGGTATTTCCAACACATAATTTCAACCCTTTTCCCTATCAAGTAGCTAAATTCTAACTGTTTGATAAATGACTATATTCAACGACATTTCGGCGTAAAAATATAAAATTCAAAGGGCTCAGACCTATTCACAAAAGACAGGAATAAAAATGCTCTTTCATAAATAATGATTACATGAATGGTTCTCAAATTTTCATTTCAATAAGTTTATGTCTTGATCAATTACCCTTTATAAAAATGACAAACACATCATGTTTTGGAATGATTATATATATGTTTATATACATCTTAATAATACAAAAGTCTTTCTGTGGTGAAAATGTTTCTTTCATGTGCGACTTCTTTCAAATCCTAGTTACACGTGTACCTTAGATATTCTGTACCTGGAAACGCAGGCGGAGAACAGGTAAGATCATAATGTAGAAACACGTAATCCTTCTGACACATGTGGACTAAAGGATGGCCGTTGTTGTCACACTGGACATATAAGCGAGGATTACAGTAGTGAGGATAAAGTGTCTGGACAATGCTGCCACGTCTGTGACAAGGATTGAAAGCTTCAGGTAACACACACATCATCTGTGTTTGATCCCAGAAGGAGCCGGAGAAACATTCTTCTTCCCATGCATTTCCTCGACTATCACAACGTATATATTTTTTTGTGCTGTCTGGGTGGGGAAAAGTAAGATTACCTGTAAAGTAAATATGCTTTTATATTTGAATTGTTCACTTTAATAGGATACGAGTGATATCGATAAAGAAACTAAATATTTGCTTAATTATGTTTAATTAAATAAACGAACAGAAACCTAATCACTGTGAATTTCAATAAATTATATCAGAAGAAATTATATTGTTTTATATTGGTTTTATCTTATAATTCGTCTCTCTCTTACCAGCTATGATATTTTCTTTTGAACAAGGATTCCTAAACATCTCGTTTGATATCGTACATGACTTTGAAAAGTTTTGGTTTGGTAATGCACACGAAGAGCAATCAGCATGAAAAACCTGAATAAAAATAAACAAAATATTTGTTGGAAGACATTAAATCGGAAATAAATTATGATTTTAAATAGATCGAAAATACCAAAAAAAATATACTTAAACAAATGATTGCATAAATTTGTTAGTAATGTTCCCATACTTCTGAAAACTTCTTTTTTCATTAATAAAATATAAAACAGTTCTTCTTATATTGGAAATGATTACCTCATTCTTTGGACATTGTGCCGAAAATGTTTTTCCTGAGACATCACATATCAAAAACTTATTGATATAGTCAGGGTGAGGAAACTTCGTTACTCCTTTCAGCACATTGCTTTTATTGCAAGGATTGTCAAAGTTCCAGTCCTCTGCAAGAGTCAAAGCTTTATCTTACATGTAAATTAAAAAAATTAGAGTGGAATTGATTTAAAAAAAAAAAGACGCAATCACTTATGCACTAAGAAATAAATACAGAAATAAGTTTGGCGATAATACTAAAGGAACTTTTATACTAAATGTACATTTTGAAAAAAGAATAGTTTATAGATGTCCTTATAATAGATTGACTTGTTATACTGATGATAACTGTACCTTCATAAAGTAAGCAGGGAGGTTGTTACAATTCTGATTAGATTTATTCATAATAAAACTAGTAATCGTGTCTTTATCACTATAATTAAAATTTTGACTTTATTTCTGTGCAAGATATAAGTCGAATAGCAATTATTTCAGCGACAAGTACCTTTGCAAGAAAGCGGTTTTTTGGTAGGTGGTGATGTGTTTGTAGTTGTATATTGAGCCCAAGTGTGATTGCAAGTTGGACCTACACTCGGAAGTGTGTTATTTGTATCATCCCACAGTATTAACGTAACATTTGTCGGTGTAGTCGTATAACCGTACTGTTTTTGATATTTTTGATATGGCATTTCTATTTCACTTGCCTAGAAGAACAATAATAAAATCAACATTATTATAATATGTACAGCAAGCCATGCGAATTGGCTATAACATAAACATGTTAGGATGATTTACAAAACGTGAAATAATTTTTCAAATGAAAATCTTGATTTCGATGTTTCCAAACAAGACATCACATGACCAATGGTTTTTTTATTTGATTTTAAATGTGCATGCCTAAGAAAATATTCTTTGTTTTATAATATACGTACTTCTATGGTCAAAACACAGAGTCCAAACTGTTGGCTGACTATTCCTGTATTTATATCTACATTCGTTGCAGCATAAATGACACCGGTGTGATTGTCTATAGCAAACAAGTCTCCACAACTGCTATCTGTGTATATGATAAAGTAAAATTATGAAAAGCTTTAATAGAAAACAAACACATAACATAAAATTTATCGTATTATTTTGTTATGTTTGCATTTTGTTTTTACAATTCAAAATGACTTAAAGCTGTTTTTGGAAGGATGGAAATCTTATAAAAATCCATAAAAGTAGCTAACTGGTAAAAAAACTCCTATTTATGTTAAAATTATGTTCTACCAGTGCATTTATATCAATTTATTTCACTTCTGCAATCAAATATTTAATTTTGTCCGTGAACAAGATAAATAAAACCATTAAAGTTATTCATGTTTATTACTACAATAAACTAATGAAAACTTAATTCATAAAAATTATAACAGCTGATGACTTACATAGAACAGAATAAGATATCTCGTTAGATATCCCTGAATCACCATCAACAGCGTTGACTTGAATTACACCAGTTCCCTGAAAAATTACAACTGTCCTATAATATTGTCAAATTTTTACAGAAAATTAAGATATTTTATCACATTACCGCTCAGAAGTTTTGCTTTTATTTCACTCCACATTCTATATTTTAATATTATTTTCAACAAACAAACTTAAAAATAATGATCATAGTTCATGTAGCTTTCCATGAAAGTGGCTGGAAAGTATTTACATAATATGCTGAACGGTGAAATAACAGTTTTCAATGCCATTCCCTTATTAGTAGGGCTGTTAATATGAACTCAATTTTAAGCATTCCACAATATTAATAATATTATGAAATTGATAATAGATTTTGAAAACTATGTCAACTAGAGTCGTCATACACATTTTCATGGAAATACATATTGTATATCATTTAACGAAAAGAACTGAATGGGATTTCTTAATATATAATATAATTATGTATTTACAAGCATGTTTTTTTTACACAATTTATGTCACCTGAATTATTTAGAACAGCAAGACTAGTCTTAAAATACATCGTTATACATAAGACATTTTAAGGAATTACATACACGTGTAATACGTCCATTGATAGCTTTTCTATATGTACCAGTGAAGAAAGGTGGTTTATCCTGCACGTCTTTAACGCGTATAATCAAATCAGTTGTTGCTGTTAACCCGCCGTTTGGTCCATTATCCTAAATATAATAACGTGAGATGAGCAACCTTGAAAATTATACTTGGCTGGGGGACGTGAAAACTCTTGATAATAAACAAGGATTCTCAAACTGGATATATATGTATTATAATTCTAACACGACACAGATACATTTACAATAGGCTTGTTATGAGTTTATAATCTTTGACTTTAACCAATAACGCGGTCGGCAACCAATGGTATTTAATTCGGAAGTTGCGAGCTAAATTTCGCATATTCAAGAAAAAAGTGATAACTGTAAAATACGTGAGAATAACCATGCATAGGCCTCGTTACCGCCCCTGGGTGTGTCTCTCTCGGAGCGGATATTCCGATCCGAACTGCAGCATATGACGACTATCGTTATTTCGACCCAGAACAAAAATGCCCAAGAATCTGCCTTTGGACAGTTGTAATAATTTAACTATGAGAAGATTCTGCACCACTCGAGTCAATTACTCTTCGGCCGAAGTTTTCATAAGTCATTTTTTTTTCATTAATACATCTTTCTCAATAAACAGAACATTTAATAATGGATTTGCAAGAAATCATACAGTACATGTATTGATATTAGCCATGTACCTCATTTCGACTAAATCAAAACTAATGTAAATGAAATAGCCTCGAAAAATGTCATAAATTGCAATTTTTTATATTAAACAGTAAATTATATGAATACATTGATTATATTTATGCATGCCTTTGAAGTAGAATAAAACGTTTGCCAACGGTACAACATACCGTTATTTGATTTAACGAATGAAATTGTAAATATATCAATCTATAATATGTCATTATCAGTACTGACGGTCGAACATTCACCCTGTTTTTGAAATCTTTCGCTAGCAATTTCTGAATGACATAAAATGCAGTTTACCCTGCGTGAATTAAATTCGCATAGAATACATTTAAATGTCGTCAAGTCATTTGGAACTATCTAATCAATGATACCTGTATATCCTTTTTTAAATTATAACACAAGTGGCAAATAAGCATGCATCAAAAAAGTTGTTGCAATACAACTTATTAAAACTATAATAAGATGAAATTGGCATGAAATTGGCGACATGTCGGCCTGACCGCCTATCGGCGCTAACTTCACTTATAATATTTAAAGATTAAAAAACAACAGAAGAAATTCTCATTGAACCGTTTTTTAGACATTTAAATGTTACATAAGCAGACAAAAAAACTTTGGACTAAATATTTAATTCTATGCTTTTGTGAAGTTGGCGGCCTGGTGGCCTAAACTTCTAAAGTCGTTCAATTTCATGAAAACAAAAAGGCACTAAATGGATTTATACATACTTTTCTTGTCATCTAAATGAAACATTAGCAGAAAAAATAACTTTAAAAGAAGTTTTAAATTTTAACGTGAAGCTGTCGACCTAAACTTCTTACGAAGATCATTAAAAGAATAATAAAAACGTCTCCTGGTGAAATTATTGATTTTATTTAGCAGTGTAACTTAGAATAATAACCCCTATCATAAGACCGCTTTAAGTTGTAGTGTAAATAAGAATCACATTTTTCTTTGCATAAAGCTTGTGTGGATATGTTTTATATACAGTATATGTGTATATCATTTTAATGTCTAAAGAACATGTTAACGAGATGTGTTTTGTTCTTTCAGTAAATATGATATGTTCGTAGTTCTAACGTGAAGTTCGAGCCGCCAGGACACCATGCCACTATGCCGAAAATTTTCAATGCCATGAAGTTCTTGCCAATTTCAAGCTAGACCGCCAACTATTAAGACCTTGTGTTGTCATCAATATAATCTAATATAATACCTTTGCAGTTATCACAAAATGATAGTAAATGATCCTTTCAAAAGATAAACATTTTACTAATGAAACAGCCGAAGTATTAGAGTCTATCGAAAAGGTATTACTGTACTCCAAAGCTTGCTCCGCTATCTGAAAAATAAATGCGTCTGATTTTGCATCTTTCTGTCTGTCAGTTTTTCAGAAGAATGTTTTACCAAAAAAATTTTTTTTAAGTAAATAAAAAGTTATAACACATACATCATTAAAGTTATTTGTGTGATCATAAACAGCTCTTAATTGACACTAAGCTAAACAAGGCTATAGAACGGTAGAACGACTTTTGTTAATATTATTTAA